AGAATTTTTTGGCTTTTTCAAGAGACACGGTGCAATGATAAGGGTACGTAGGTAAAAGCAAAGGTGAATATGGAGAGCAAATAACGAGCTTGGGCCAACGAAATAAACAAGCCTAATAAATAAATTATTAATTTTATTTGAATTTTTAATTTTTTTGAATGGACTGTGTTGGCATACATAAATTTTAAAAGCCACGTGTCTATTGGAATCGATATTACATACTAAAACGCTACACCTTAATCGAATGATGCATTCTCGAATCTTAATGAAATGATGCATTTGGTTTCATAAACCAATCAATATTAACGAACAACAATTTAAGAATCTTAATGAAACAATGCATTTGGTTTCACAAACCAATCAATAGCGACGAACGAGAGATTTGAGCATCTTAAATGGAACGATGCATTTGGTTTCACAAACCAATCAATATCAATGAAACGAGAGATTTTCTTTAGTTTCATAAACCAACTAATGTCGACAAAAAAAGAGAAAGATAAAACTTGATAACCGTTCGTGCTCAAATTTGAAGCTCTAGACAGGTTATCAACCGAACAATGGTTTAAAAGAAGAAGAAGGAAGACAAACAAAGGGATAATAAGATTTCTCTCGAAGATTACTTTCATCATGTTTTCTTTAGAATAACCTTTACTTTCCTACAAAGTAGATCGGTAGTATTTATTTTGCTCTTTAGTAACTTAGGATTTTTCATTTTAAGTATTATCAAATGGCTTTAACAACATCCAAGACTATTGATATAAGTGTTATATCTTTCGATTTATAATATTTATATCTCGGTTTTTCTCATCGAATGTTTATTTCTTTCAATTAACAACATCTCTTTTATTTTTATTTTTATCATTCAAATCTAACTACCACGTTAAAGTCCTAATGGTTTACTAAGCGACATTGAACCCTTTATTATTTCCTTACAAAATACTTGGTTATAAATTAAAGTGTCAATTTACTCCATATTTAAGATCAAATTGGACAAGCGAGTAACAAGTTTTGACGACCATATTGGGAGAATCAATGTCGAAATGTGGTATTACTAGAAGCATGACAAAACATCTAACCTCTGGAGAAGACCAAATTGATGAAACACAATTAGTTTACGTAGAAGAAATGGTCCAAGTTTTTGAGGGTGTGCCTCTAAAAGAAAAGAAGCTAGAAAACCACAATGGTGGACAAGCTATGGATAACCAAGAGGGATTACTCGAAAATGTGATAGATAAGAGCCATAACGATGGCCGAAACAAGTATGGTATCGAAGTCAAGAGCCTATAAACCCGGAAAGGAGTGATACCTCTACCAATAACGGACGAAGACATAGCGGTGAAAGAACCAAACTTTAGCATTTGATAGATGTTATCAAAACGAGCCGAGGAACTGCTCAATAAAATCTATGATCCAAGCTGTAGACATAGGTACTCAAATAATCGACACTTGCGAGTTAGTGTTAAATCGGCTTGAAGAAGACATCGGTAGAATGAGAGCGTTTATAATCGAATCATCGCAAAAGAGCATTGACATGGCTAATCACCATATTGTCGAAATGATGAAACGTATGTATTATCATAACGATAGAGTGATTGTATATGTGAATCATTTGTTCCGTGAAAGTATTGGCCCATTGGCTAAACAAGTAACCAAAGAGGTGGAAATCACCATCGAACCAAGGTTCGACACGACTACAAGTGCCACTCGATTGATGAAGGAAGATGTTAGATGCCTTGTAGTTCGACATAAGGAAAAAGGAAGAAGGTAGTCGAAGATGGACATGGAGCATTCCTACTAGGATAACGGACATTCCTCTAGGGTACCTACCTATTGTCTCCAATAGAGCATTCGACAATAGGAGTGGTCAAGATCCATCACGAGTACGTACGCACGGACCTATTATGGCCAAACTCGTGGCCATCCTACTTAACTACCTACATATCCAACCCTACATCAATCAACCAGTTGGCCATATGCTATTGGAAGCCTATTTTCTTGAACCTTGCGATTTGCATCGTTTGCTCTAAAGGCCAAAGTTTGGCCGGAAGGGTATAAACAAGTATTGGCCATGATATTTAACGAGTCATTGACATATGACCTTCTAAGAATTGGAATTGATTTATTCGGGGGTTCTAGAAAGAAACCAAAATTATAAACAAACTAGGGTTAGGAAAATATTGGTAAGTCGATAACATGATGGCTTCACGAATCCCTATTATTGCCTATTTTTTACCCAAGCGAGGAAGAAGCCTCTTGTTCACCCAAGTCTCATACTTGGCATCCGATTTTGGCCAAATCACTTGGAAATGCTTTAGCAGTTTGGGTCCAATTTTGAAGGGTCAAATAAGATGTAGGTTCAAAGATTATGCTAGCATCGATAGTTCTTGGGTAAGCCGAATCGATCATCTCCGACGGAGGTACTACATCGGCATTGATCGTAGGCCTTAGGGTTAGATGAAGACTCCTCTCTAGGTTTTCTTAAATCATATTCGAACATCAATAGCTTGGTTATTAGTAATAGTCCGAATGAGGTGAGTATCAATCGTATTGGTCGAACAAAAAGCTTTCATAATCTATGACGATCGATTAAAGAAGATACTTTGGTCCGTACAAACTTCTTATAAGATTTTAGGTTTCTTTTAGGAGTCATTCTAATGGAATGGAAATAAATTCCAAAGCAAAAAAGATGTTCGAAAAAAGGGAGGAAAAGTTTTGAAAATTTTTTTACATAAAGTAAGAGGAATCATAAAGAGTGCAAATTTATAGAGTCGACTTTGTTTTATATCACATACATTCAAAAGTTATGATGCTTTCACTTTTAAACTCAACGATTCAAATTTGACGAAATGAAACGTCGGATTGCTGCATAAAGTAGCTACATTTAGAAAGATGGGGAGTCGTATGGTCTCATCACGTCTTATAAGCATTTAATGATCTGTCCATCGGAGAAGAAACTCATCATTTCATCTCTAAAAGACTAAGAAGGGGGCATGTGTTGGCATATATAAATTTTAAAAGTTACGTGTCAATTGGAATCGATATTACATACTAAAACGTTGTACCTCAATCGAATGATGCATTCTCGGAATCTTAATGAAACGATACGTTTAGTTTCATAACCTAATCAATATCGACGAATAGAGATTTGGGAATCTTAATGAAACGATGCATTTGGTTTCACAAATCAATCAATATTGACGAACGGAGATTTGAGCATCTTAAATGAAATGATGCGTTTGGTTTCACAAACTAACCAATATCGACGAAATAGAGATATGAGAATATTAAATGAAATGATGCATTTGGTTTCACAAACCAACCAATATTGATGAAGCATAGATTTTGTTTGGTTTCACAAACCAACTAATGTCGACGAACGAGAGAGGAAAATAAAACTTGATAATCGTTCGCGTTCAAATTTGAAACTCCATACGAGTTATCAACCGACGACGGTTTAAAAGAAGAAGAAGGAAGAAAAACGGAAGGATAACAAGATTTACGAAGATTACTTTCATCCTGTTTTCTTTAGAATAACCTTTACTTTCCTACAAAGTAGATCGGTAATGTTTATCTTGCTCTCTAGTAACTTAGGATTTTCCATTTCAAGTATTATCAAATGGCTTCAACACCATTTAAGACTATTGATGCAAGTTTTATATCTTTTAATTTATAATATTTATATCTCGGTTTGTCTCATCGAATGTTTGTTTCTTCAGATTAACAATATTTCCCTTTATTTTTATTTTTATCATTTAAATCGAACTATCACGTAAAATTCCTAGTGGTTTACTAGGCAGCATTGAAACTTTTATTATTTCCTCGCGAAATACTTGGTTACAAATTAAAATATCGATTTAGTCCACATTTAAGACCAAATTTAACGAGCAACAACAGATCGAAAGAGCAAAAGTCGATGCTTGAGTTGGTTAGATAAATAGGCCACATGTCATATTTTTTAAGCTATCACATAATCTCACGTTTAGTTAATATTAGATAAATTTTACTTTAGTTGAAATTATCAATTAATTGTGAAATCAAAATAAATCCAAATATTTTGTGATGTTTTTGGTTTGATTATTTTTTTAAAAATATTTAAAGCGTTAACTCAATTTTAAAAGTACTCGATAAAATATCTTATTATTAAATGGAAGTCCAAATTTTTAAAATAACCTAGCTAAAAATAAATTTTGACTTTGCCGCTGCATCCGATCAAATTCCCTCAGAAGTGAGGTTATAGTCTCACGGCTTTAATAGTAATAATAATAATAATAAAATAATCATAATTCCAAAAGGTACTGTAGGGCCGGGCTTCCAAAGCAGACTCTGGGCCCTTGGCCTTGGTACTTGGCTCTATCTGGACCCTAACAGCCTATTGCCATTTGCTGACTCCCCTATTAGTAAGATTGACGGAAGGAATGACTACACCGTCCCTCTAACTTTCTTCAACCCCTTTTGCCCGTCTTCCCCGACGACTTGGAGTCTTCCCACTTACCATTATCGAACCAGTCTGATCACCAACTGACTTGCTGTTTGATTGCCCCTTTTTATTTTATTTAGAAAAAAAAAACAGAATTGAAAGTTCAAATGACCAAATAAACCAAACAAAAAGTCCAAGTCGGATTGCAATCGTCAAGTCTTCTTCTCCTTCTGTTTTTTCTTTTTCTCTTTCTTTTTCTTTTAATAATTACTGAAAAGAAGACTTTTATTATAATTATAACAAGATAGATAAATAAATAATAAAATTAATAACAGATGTCTTTGACACCCGCAAAAGCCTCTAGTGGACGCTGCTTCTCTGAAGGTCCAAAAGCAATAATTTTATTTGTTTATTTTTTTTATATTTTGTATGATGTAATTTCTGCATCTCGTCTTCTTCTCTCTTTTTTTGGTTAAAAAAAAAAGAAACGCACATTTCATATATATTTTGTGTGCTAGGTTGTGTTTGGTTGCAAGGAGAGAGGTGGAGGAGGAAAAGAAAGGAAAGAGCAGAAGCAGCAGCAATGGCGTCGCGTCCAGTGAGGTTTCCAGAAATCGATGATGAGTTAAGAAAGATTATCGATGCTAACATGGACGAAGTGCCTGCTAGAAGACGTGCTCGTGAAGCGTTTAAAGATATTCAGCTTGGGATTGACCATATCTTGTTCAAGGTTCACTTTTTTTTTTTTAAAAAAAGATTGAATTACTTATCGTGTTTTCCTTTTCCTACTATTTATTTGGTTGCGTTATTTTATTTTGTTTGATTCATGTTTTATTTTATTTTTTTGAATTACTACTGCGGTAATTTATTTTATGTGGAGTAATTTATTTTTGATTTTAATGATGAGGGTTATTTGTTTTGTTGCAGACACCATGTGATGATTTGAAAATGGAGGAGGTAAGAGGAAAAAAGGGAACGTTATGCATATAAGTTTTTATTTACGTAGGAAGTTGGGGTTGTTGTTTTGGTTAGGTTTTATTTAGTAGAGACAGTAAAAGGTTGGGAAGTTGAAGATTTTAAATTTTCCCGTAAGCTTTTTTTTTTGGGTTAGGAATTAAATGTGGTTTACTGTGTGTATTGAAGAGAAGGGATGGTGGTTGGTGACTGAAGAAATGGGGTCTTAAGTGTTCTTAATTAAGACTTCAACTATATGTGCATCTTTTTAGTTGCTGTAATTTATGTATAGAAATAGGTTTTTCAAATTTACTTCCTTTTTTTATGAATGAGATTTCGGTGATGGAAACAAAACCAAATGGGAATTACCAAATTACAAGGCAATACAGAACGCCTGTAAGAAAAACTGAAATACAACCAAACTTGAATAAAGTGTGCCTTTTGACTGGTATTTGGTTCAATTCCATACATCTAATCTTTGAATGTAGAATAGAAATGCTGTTTGCTGTATCCTTGAACTAAATGCCATCTAATTTACTATTGTTTCGCAGCTCTGATAATTTTCCATGATCTACCTTTATTTATTTATTTATTATCTGTACAGTCGTATGAGGTGAACTCTAGGGGATTGGAAATTTTCACAAAGAGTTGGCTTCCTAAGTCCTCCTCCCCAAAAGCAGTGGTGTGTTTTTGTCATGGTTATGGAGACAGTTGCACATTTTTCGTTGAAGGCATGTAGCTCTTGTACATTAGTGGTGATCAATACATTTTTAGGTATAAGCTGGCGATGAGACTTGATTGAATCTTGGCATTGTTTTCAGGGCTTGCAAGAAAGTTGGCATCATCTGGATATGGGTTTTTTGCTATGGATTACCCAGGATATGGTCTTTCTGAAGGTCTTCATGGCTATATCCCCAGCTTCGACAGGCTAGTTGATGATGTTATAGAACATTACTCCAAAGTCAAAGGTGAATCGGCTGTTTTAAGCTTTCTGTATAACTCTCACAAGTGGCCAAAATCTTGTCTTGAGAAGAATTGAAGAATCATTGACCTTGTCAAGAGTATTAAAAATCTTTTCACTCAGTTATTACCATTTTTTTATGCTTTAGTTGGTATCATTGGGGTTTTTTATAGATCAGAAAGAATCTAAAATTGTTTTACAAGTGCCAATTTATCCGTGGAAGCTCATGCTAGAACACTTATCATATGTCCGAAGGAGTGTTTTTTACATGATCTTAATTTCAGATTTTTGTGTTGTGATCCAAAAGCATGGCTTGAGGCTGCTTGTGCAGCATCTTTTGTTAGAGGTGTTTCTGCCTGCATCCATTTTCTTTAACTTGGTTTAGTTGCTTATGCATGCATCTTTGTGTAAGTCTAGTCTACAGTGCTTATATTATTCAATAAATTCTCTGATATTTGTTGAGAGTTCGAGACAGGTTACATATAGTAATATGTTACTTCAAATTTGTCTGGGTTTATTGTTTCTGCTGTTCTAATATGTTTTTGTGCTGTGAATTTGCCTTTTCAATAATTGCTTGTCTGCTTCTATATGGATAACAAACTCTTTCTTGGCACGGATCAGCAATGCAGTCTTGGTACATCAGACATGTTCCATCAGACATGTTCTATATTGTAGTCTTGCAATTTAGACGTATAATTGGATAACCTATCTCAAAAGTGATTAGATAAAACAAGGTAGAAATTCATATTCTCAGAATCCAAATTTTATATAACCTTTTACTGTTAGTATCTTAATGATCTCTTGTAGTGCCCCTCTGGTTATGGGATGGCCTGGGAAACTGACATTACAAGTTTTTAGAATCCCTGAGGTGCAGCCCCCAAGGTAAAAACTAATGTTAAAGAAAGGGTAAGAATGGACAATGGCTATTGTGACGAAGGATAAGAACAGTATTGCTTGCAGTTCCCCTTGTTCAAGTATGATCTTATCCAGCCGGTGCAGTCCCAGAGTAAAAGGAAAAAACACCAAGATGCGACAATCCAGACTAGTCTGATGGGAAATGGCTGTCTGAAACTTGCTCTTGGCAAAAAATGATTTCTCCTCAATTTCAAATTTATTCTCAAAATTGTGTGATCTCTATGCAAGCAATGATGTGAATACGCTGCATGTCATTCAGACAACAATGGAATCAAAATATGCTATGCTCTTAATGCAAATTTCTGTTTCTTTTGGATGGCAGAGAACCCAGAGTTTCGTACTCTACCAAGCTTCCTATTTGGAGAGTCTTTGGGTGGAGCTGTAGCTCTGAAGGTGCACTTAAAGCAACCCAATGCATGGAAAGGTGCCATTCTCGTAGCTCCTATGTGCAAAGTATGTTTTCCATACTTAGTTACGTTACTGCTCTGCTTGTCTCTGGTTCCTTTACCTCTTTAATTCAAACCATTTTTTTAGATTGCGGATGACATGACTCCACCATGGTTATTGAAGCAAATTTTGATTGGCGTGGCTAATATTCTTCCAAAGCAGAAGTTAGTTCCACAAAAGGATATGGCTGAGGCTGCTTTTAGGGATCCAAAGAACAGACGCCTGGTTTGTTTCCTTAGATTATTTCTAAAATCAAAAGTTTGCGTATGTTTTCTGTTAGGCTTCTATATGATAATGGCTTGCAGGATGCTTTAGTGTTTTGTATTATTGACATGTTTTCTACTTTTCTGTCTATCTTTTTTTTTCATCCTGCATCTGCTCTTTGCTGTATTCTCTGGATGTCTTTGATTATATAATTTATGCCTAGGCCTTTTTTTTACTCATTTATTGAAACTTTCTTTTTCATCTAACGTAGACAGAATATCATGTCATTGCTTACAAGCATAAGCCACGCTTGAAGACTGCACTAGAGATGCTCAGAGCCACTCAAGAGATAGAACGTCGACTAGAAGAAGTATGCCCATTTCCTCTGCCCTCTTTTACTATGTCAGGAAATTTGAATGAGTGATCCACTGTTTATATTTTGTTTTGTTGTATCTTCTCGCTAGCATTATAGGATCACGCTCAATCTCCCTCCACCCTCTTCGAGTGTTTCTGTTTACTGTTCACTTATAACATGTTAAGGTTGTGATCAGTAGACTTTGAGAGCCTACCAGCGTGGATTTGAGACACGACCGCTGGGAGATGTTTGGACTACATTGATGCCATATTACCTATGCTAGCCTACAATTTTTTCAAAATCATCGTAGATCTCTCTCTGAAAGCGCTCAGGACCTTCTGTAATTAAATTAATAGGTAGAAGACTGCTTGCTGTTGTAAAAAAAAAAAATGTTTAGTAGTTAGGCAGGCATTGAGCTTGAAGTGTGTGTCAGCATATTGATTGTGAATTATATGCATAGGCTCTCCTACGATATGGTTTAGACAGACTTAAAGAGAGGGAATCTCATATGTAGGTTGCTTAGGTCAGGATCTTGGTTTTAGACATCCTTTTACTGAAATCTTGGATATTTCAGTTGTGATTAAGTCCACTGAATTGGAAAAATGTTATGATTGCAGGTCTCTCTACCACTATTAATTCTTCACGGAGAGGCTGACACCGTAACCGATCCATCTGTGAGCAAGGCGTTGTATGAGAAAGCAAGCAGCTCGGACAAGAAGCTAAAGCTATACGAGGGTGCTTATCATGCTCTTGTTGCGGGTGAGCCAGATGAAATGATAATTCGAGTTTTAAATGATATAATTTCTTGGCTTGATGAGCATAGCAGAGAAACTAGTTCTTGCTCATAGTGTTGCCTTGCTCCCCTCATTCGTACAGAGAATCAAAAAGGGAGGGTACTTTGATAGTTATAAGTGACAAAAAAATAAAATAAAATAAAAATAAAAATAAAATAAAATAAAAAAGGGCTATCATTATATATGAGCAAAACTGTCTATTGAATTGTAGAGGAACATTATGTTAATTCATAAATTCACTTGCAGTTTGTATTTAATTGTCGCATAATTCTTTGTTTGCTGGTTTAGTAACATTTTAATTTATGAAGAAAAATTTCAATTCAATTCCTCAAGTGTAGGTGAAACATTTCATTAATTATCCCAGCATTTAAATTACTATCAATGTTCTTTGAAGGTTTAATATTAAATTCATCTATTAACTTTAACAAGAACTGTTATTCATATAAAAAAAAAAAGCAAGAATTAAATTATAGATAACGTCACTATGAGTTTTGATATAAAACTAATATTTTAAATGGATCCATTAAGGCTTCAACCCTTTGTTGTTAGGAGTGCGTATCTGAGTATGGTTTCCATAGGTTAATCGAATTTATAAAAATCAAAACCGAATTTGAATAGAAATATTATTTGATTTTTAATGAAAAACCTAATTATTTTTTTAATATAAAAAATATATGATTTTTTTTAACACTAATTTTGTCATGAGTTAGATTTTCTATATAAATTTGATATGTTAAAAAGCATATTTTAGGTCCTTTTTCATCAATTTATTTTGGAAAAAAAAAAAAGGAGGATAAAGAATACCATTACAAAGTTCCAATCAATTACAAAATAACATCAACAACCAAGTCAAGTAATATAACTTATAAATCATAAACATAAAATTTACTTAGCAATCAACTAAAAAAAATAAAAAAAATTATAATTTGTATTATAAACATTTTAATGCTTAATGGATATTATAAATATTTTATAAAAAATGTTGTAAAAAAAACATAATTAGTAGTAAATAATTTCAGCCATTTTAAAAAATATTTATAAATTAAAATGAGCATAATTAAGGATTGACCTCCCTAATTTTATAAATTGTCAAAAAAAATTTACAAAAAAAGTTTTTAAAAAAGTTCAAAATTAGGGGGTTATATATATATATATATATATATATATATATATATATATATATATATATATATATATAATGTTTTTTATATATTTTATAAAATATTATAAATATTTTATAAGAAATTATTTTTTTAAAAAAATTAAAGATTAGGGGACCTAAAAATATTTTTTTAATATATATATATATATTTAAAAATAATTAACAACGGAATATCAAAATGATGTCGTTTTGACATTCAAGTAACGGTCAACTCAATTGGTCATTACATATAACGACAATTAGAAAAATTGAATCAATTTTGTCCAAAACCAATAATTTGGATTCAAATTACGTAATTTGGTGCTAAAGGTCCGAAATTGCTAAATCGCAATAGAATAGAGACAAACTTTGCCATTAAACTTTTATTTGTCATATGTTAGTTTTTAGTTAGTTTTTCACATATCGAGTCTATTTTTTTTTAAATGTGACCAAAATGAAGGATAATAGTAATTCCTGAAATTTTTACATTACTTAAAGTTCGAATCTTAACAGTGAGGAAACTATTCCTTTGAACTTAAGAAGTTGGAAAAAGTTTAAAAATAAATCCCCTGAATATGGATTCTAAGATTCAAAATTAAAAAGTTTTATTTTTATTTTTATTTTTAAGAAAAAAGAACAAACCTATTTAACTGTTATGTCATCCATATTAACTCCAGCCAATTCGATGTTTAGTCAACTTAGCTAGCAACAAAGACAAGTTATTTGCAAATCATGTTCAATGTAGGCTTTTCAATCTAAAAAGATGGATTACCAGCTAATTTGGAAAATTTATACACTTCATTTATTGAACGAGACTTCCCTTGAATGATGCAACATCTAGAAATAGTTTTTTCCAATTCTTGAAAAGGATAAATAATTTGAAATTAACCTTTTAATCGGAGTTCTTGAATTCCAATCCTGAGATGACTGAGGAAAGATTTAAAAATTCAAAAATATTAGTTACCATTATCTAATTTAGGCAAGGCCACGATAAATTTCAATGAGAATCATAAAACTGAGAGTAATAAGTAGTATATCAAACCATCAAGAGATGTGATCTAACAATAAGAGAGTTGTCTTGATTTGATTAAGATTAAAATTCAATTCCCATCATTAATTAATAACTAGCCATAATTATTTTTTAATATTAGCAGATTTGAGTTCATTTGATCTTAAAAAGGAGCCCAATGGTTAACTTAAGATCAAACGTATTCGACGTCGACTTAATTCAGAATGTGATAAATTTAGTTTCGATTAATGTAAAAATTGAGTCAAAGATAACCTAGTATCTGTAAATATTTTTTTTAAAAAGTAGTATACCAAAAAATTCTTAACAAATTCAATACGAGTACAACCAATATTATTAATCGTAATTTGGTTCAATTTTTTGATCATTTATTTAAAATGAATGTTAATGTTGAATTCGTTTATTTTATTATTATTATTATTTTTTTCAATATGCAGACCATTACTCTAAAACAAAAGATCCAACGATTATCAAACTAAAGGTGGATATGCAGCTCCGTTAGACTGACATGTTGATTAATGTATTCTAAGTTTTAATCATTTTTGCATCAGCAAAATCGTTCTTGTCTCTTGAAAATGTCTTGGACTAAAAAACGAATAATCCTCTTCGTTGCATTTAATTAGAAAATCAAAGTTATTGAAATTCGAAGTACTAGATCAAATTTCTATGTTTTTAAAAAATAGATTGAATTTCTCAACATATGTGCAAAATTTTAGATTAAAATACTAAAAATCTAATTTTTTTTTAAAGGTGATAGAGTAAAATCATAAGATAGATTAAATTAAAAAAATTAAAAATTACAAAAATTAACGTAAAGTTTTGCATTTTACCCTTGTTAATTCTTATAAAAGTAACAAGCAAAAAAGCAAATACTTCTTACTGGTTTGTACTGTACATCATTTCTCACGCTTCAGTGCCTTGAAGAAAGGGTAAATAAACCTCACGGGCCGGTTCAGTAATACGTACAAGGAATTACCCTAACGATGGGGGCTAATGCTTTCAAGTTTCAAACCCTTTGATTTAATATTGAGCATGATTTAATGTAATTAAGGCTCTATTTATTCAACGAAAAACAACTTCTATAGGAAAATCAATTCTTGAGGAAGCTATTTCTTAGAAAATTGTTTTTCAAAATACTCGTTGTTTGGCAATTACATGAAAAAGCTGTTGAAAAATATATTCCAGACGTTTATTTGATACGGAAAATTAAAATACAAAAACAACATATGATTGTTATATCAACAAGTTTTGAAAAGACTTCAAAAAGGCATATTCATATTTAACAATATAAGATACATTTGAAAAAAATTAATAAATTTTCATAAATATTGAATCTAAAATTTTAATTCAAAAAAATAAAATGTACTTTTTTAACCATCAAACCAATTCACACAAATTGATATAAGGATTTAATTGTATGGTAACCATGCTCATGAAAAGTAATTATGGTTTAATTAATCATCTTAGAGAATTAGGTAATCATGATGCCTTACTAAAGATTAATCTTGATTTATGTATCAAGACATAAAAAAAGTATCTTTTATTCTTGATACATTACTGCTAACATATCTAGGAGCTCATTGAGTCACATTCGTAAGTTTAAGCATTACATAATAAAAGAGAAGCAAAGATTTAAAATTTTTTTTTTTTCGGTTTTGGAAAGTCTTTTAGTTTGGAAAAAGTTTTTTAAAATGGAAAGTTTTCTATTTTGGAAAAAGTTTTCTAAAATGAAAATTTTTCTAAAATGGAAAGTTTTCTACTTTAGAAATCGAGTTTTCTAATTTGAAAGTTAATTCCAAATTTGAAAGTAAGTTACCTAAAATAAAAATTAGTTTTCTAATTTAGGTTTAAGGGTAATTTGAAAAATTATTTCCTAATTTGGACTTTTTAAAAATATCTAACCCAATTTATTTGAATAGTCTAAATTAATTAGTAATTAATGTTAGTGTAGGTGCTCAAGATCCAACCATATTTGGATGAGCTTGAGTTAATGTATTATTGCATTATTTATTTTAATAATAATAATAATAAAGAAGTCATTCTATTAATTCTTGTGTTTTATATTTGTAAATTCGGTAGAATTAGATAGAAGTCCTAATGATATGCATTTATAATAGTGACTAATCGAAAGATGTGAGACAAACACTAATGGATATAAATGATATCATTAAACGTCCAAAGTCATAGCATTGTCAAGAATGAATATTGTCTATATGTAGATAGACTTGTGAGTGCTATGCTCATGCTATATGATAGCAATAGGAGATCTCACACCAATTGGTATGGTGATGCCAAAGTAAGCACTAAAGTGATTCATATTGGAGAACATATCATTGGACTTGACTTGTCATGAGAACCCATTTGGTTATAGTCTAGAGGAATCTCATACGAGATGGGTACAAATGGTATTTAGACTTGAAATCATCATGATTGTCTCATTAGATGACTTATGCACTTTGACACTTATTACAATGGATCCATTAAAGGGTTGCACATGGGCGATTCGTTAGGTGTACTAGAAATCTAATGGAGATAGGTGTATGAATAAGATAGGACATGTCATTCCTTGTATTCTAAAAGATTTATCACATTGCACTTCGATAAATGTCCGCTCGAGAAATTTGTGACCACAATAGAAGTATACCAATAGGGCATAGTTGGTTTACTCTAAGAGCTATGATATTTAAGAATCGAAGCAAACTTATGTGATCATAATCGAACAAGGCTTATAACCAAGTTCGAGATCACACTCGTAATAAATTGACATGAGAATTGAATTGTATGGTAACCATGCTTATGAAAGGTAATAACGGATTAGTTAATCCTCCTAGAAAATTGAGTAGTCATGATGCCTTACTAGATGCCAATCTTAATTTATATATCAAG